AAAAACAAAACCCAAAACAAAACAACAAAAAACCCCAATGATTATTTGTGTACTGCAAACTGGGCCTCGCTTCTCTGTAAAGAGGATTTAAAGATGCTCCTTTCTTTCCAAGCAGGTATGAAGGATGCCCTGGGCAGCACCGTGCTGGGATGCAGGAGCATCCCGGGCTCCCGTCCCACCGGTGCAGCTGCCCTACGGCAAAGTCATCTGAAATGAAGAAGCTAACGGCTCAAAAGGTGAAAAAACCCTGGCGAGCCTCAAAACGAGGGCTCTTTCCCCCCTCTCCGTGCCTGCACTGGCCCCGAAGAGCATCCCGACCTCGCCCGGGGAGCGGGCGCTGCTGTGAAACGAAACCATGTCGCCAGGACTTTGGAGGAGACGAGCTCCGACGTCTCGGGAAAAATTTTTCCGTCCCTGGCAAAAAGCTGGGCGAAATGATGGAAAGAAACAAAGGCGGCATCCTGACAAGCTCCTCTGATTTTTAAAAAGAAACCGGCTCAGCACGGCCAGCCGGCAGCTCTCAGGAACACAAAAATGAAATAAAAAGCTTTGCCACGACCGAGAGGAGAAATACAAAAACCCGCCAGGGAAGAGCTGACAACATAAACAGTCGTGTAAACGTGGTTACTGCCCACAGCGTGTACACGGCGAAAGGCAAATTTAAAGTCAGTCACCAGATTCGGCAGCCAGATTAATTTTAGATCACAGCAGCAAAGTGGTCGGTTGGAAAAAAAAACAACAAACCACAACATCTCTAGGTACATTGTGTTTTCACAGGGGAAGATTATTTTTAGAATATGCTGAGGATGGTCCTACGCGACCAAAGCTATTCATAATTTTAACACGTACTTGGGTTTGCAAAACTCAAATACAGTAGTGTCTGGTTTTTATAAACTGAGGAATAAAACAAAAGCCTCTTGCATTTGCTCACGCGTACGATTATGCTTCAAATTCCTCTCGTGAGCGAGTCCTGAATGGAATGAAAACTGCCGCTTCGAGAACTGGAAAAAAATAAGTTACTGGAAGCGACCCCGTCAGTCGTCATCGTAACAGAATAAAATAATAGTAATAAAAAAAAAAGCTACCCTTGGTTGTTCGGACGAGGGGTGTGTGCTATCCTACACTGCTGTAAGAAGGCACGCGTGTCAATCCGGTCTCCTCTAAGCTGCTCAAACTCTTCGCGGCAGGGCTTTGCTGCTTCTCCCACCCGCCGTCTGCAGGAGGCGACAGCCGAGGCTGAAGGTCCGGCTGGCGCAGGGCAACAACCTCCTCGGGGGGGAAAAAATACCTTCGGGAAAAGTTCTCCAACCCTACCAGCGATGGGAAGAAGAAGAGGAGAGAAAGAGAGAAAGAGGACGTGGGGAGGTGTGCGTGCGTGTCTGCGTGTCCGTCTGTCCGGCGGAGAGAAAAACGCCAGCTGTCCCACGAGTGTCCGACAAGCCTTCCCAACGGTGGGCAGCTACTGCAGCCGCCTGTAATCCTCGTTACGATCCGCGCGGAGGACAAAGACATCGCCCATTGGAACACTACTATGTCGAAGGTAAGAAAACTCCTTATTTTCTTTACATAGCTACTATAACAGAACTGAGGAAATATACAGTCGGCGGTATCATTATACAAAAGAGCCCATCGCGTTCCCTCCTCCTCGATAAAACACACCCTTTCTGAAAAATAAACTCTGACAATCTGCCACAGTTCCTTACGCCTGCAGAAAGCTGCTCACTGTACAAAAGACTTAAGAAAAAGGAAAAACAAACAAACAAAAAAGGAAAATAATGTACAAGCAAGAAAAGTGGGAGGAAAAAAGGTTTAGACGCTATTGCCGTTCAGAAACGAAACCTGCCAAATAGAAAATAAATGTCAGAGTCACACAAACAAGGCTTCTTTAGGGTTTTGTGAAATATCGATATAAAAATTAACAGCAAATTCATAGTCTTTGCTATAAAAAACTCTTTTTTTTTTTTCGTTAGAAAAGGATCACAACTAAAAACCTTAAATTAAAATACAAATGTTTAGGGTAGTTGCCCAGTGGCTAACGTGTTGGCTTTCTGAAAAACTTTCCAACCTGTCGTCTGAAAGTCCTCAAGTTTCAACCTGGATCCTTTTCCAAAAGCACCTTTTACGTTCCAATTCACAAATCTGTCCCTAGGGAGCTTCCAATGGCTACTGTTATAGTATGCATTTATTACATATATTTTTCTATAAATGCATCATAAATATTTTTATCAATAATTCATAGGAATCCGGTTTCTAAGCTTGGAATACATTTGGAATATACATTATACACATATATATATTTATACCTAACAATTTAAGCAATATCTCATGCTAGTTGCTTTTAATAAAAAGCATTCCAGTCTTAAACCTGCATTTGTGTCTAATACATGCTTCAACAACCAAATTGATAAGTTCAATTACTAGATAACGTAGAAGAGAGAAAACATTTGAAAATTTGTTTTTAAAAATGGTTGAATTTCAAAGACCCAACAGTATTTGCCACTTTCTTGGCAACTACCTTAATTTTTTTTTTCTTTTTTTTTTTTTTCTTTTTTTGAAACAGCAATGAAAGAAAACAAAACAAATCCAAACTTGTAGACAGTTTTTGGAGACGCTCTGTTCAGCTGATGCCTGCTTCCCACCATCATGCCAGCACAAGCCAAAAAGTCTTCCTTCCTGATGGCAGTTCTTGGCTTTCCCAACCAGAGGAAAAATATTCATGAACTGCTGTGTTCTTTGTGGTTTTTTTGTTTTGTTTTTTTTTTGTTTGTTTTGTTTTTTTTTTTTTTTTACTTAAGGCATTGTTCCTCAAACTTCAGAAAATCCAGCTGCACCAAATCCATCAATTAAAAAAAAAGGCACAAACTCATCTTCAGATGGCTTTGGAGACAATAAAGCCGACTCCATCTGGGCTACCGTTTCCCCCCTTCTCTTT